AGAACGCATTGGGTAAACCACGCTCCCCCGGAGGGTACCTCCCCTTCTGAGTGTACAGAATTAAATTATTTCCCTCAATGATCGCAGTAATGATGGATCCCAAAAGATACCTCCTGCCGTAAGGGTCAGGTGGCGCGTCTGTCGACAGCCATGAGAGTACCCCGAAAGCTTCAGTCCACGATTCCCCCATGTCATTCGACTCAAACACCTTGCGGCCATCCAAACAGTCAGTAACCATGAGAAGTGTCCCATAATCCCATTCGATGATGCGGGAGTCAAAGCAGTCCACAGGAGAAATGCCCTTTGGGACCACCCAGCTGTTGCCTTTATCCTTTGAGTAAATGAGCAATGAGACAGGGTCTCCATTTTGATTCCTCGCTGTCAGAGGAAACACAATCGTGCCGTCGTACGTCACAATGCCTGAGCCACCACCACCCACAAATTCCTTCAGTGCACTTTTAAGCTTTTCGGGGATCAGTGACATCAGTGATATGGGTGCAGCCCATTCGATCCATTCACCCCGACCGCTGGATATGGACTGCGTGGCCTCACCCACAAGCATTCGAATATCCCAGCCAACCTTCTGCCAAATCTTTTTAGTAGCGTCATACTTCATAGTACAGTTTCCCACAAGTAGAAACGCCTTATTGTCCATTCCAACTGATGTGGGATTTCGCAAAACGCCCAAAAGATCATCGCCATTCCCATCGCCAAGGACAGTGTGCGCCCTCCATTCCTTGCTGGTGACTTCAGCAACAATGGATGGCCACGTCTCCGCAGCGCTGATGTACCCCGCCACAATATCGGCAGAACCAAGCCCACTCGATGTTTTGTGCGATCCAGTATACCTGATCCAACCCTCGGCAAGCACAGTCATCACTCCACCAGCACGGACGAGAGAAGGAGCGGCAAATGACTCCCTCGTTGTAATTTGGCCCTTCCCACCTTTTGAATCCACCAGCGTCTTCTCTGGCACAAGAATAGCAACCTCATTCGGCAGCTGCGCATCCCCCAAATTGATCTCCACCGCGTGTGCAGCTCCACTGCCGCCGCACATCATCACGACAAGGAGGAGCAACGCGGAAGCAAACACAGGCCGGGACATGTTGGGTCTCTGCGGCTCACTCTCTCTTCCTTCCCTCCTCCTTCCGGTGGATCCGGTCACGCGGCGACGGTTGTGTGTGCGGGTTGCCTTCACTGCAGCAACACGTGAGAGCATACAAATATGTGTGTGGACTGTGTGTGTGCTGTTGTTGGTCCTTTCACTGCCTTCAAATTTCACAGTAGCGATTCGCGCTTGGTAGTAGCTTCCTTCTTGGAGGGGAGCAACAGGCAACAGCGGCAGAAAGAGAACAGAACAGCAGTACACACCGTCACCGCTCAAAGCGAAGCACAAAATCACCATCCCCGCAGCCATTACTCCACAGCACCTCTCAACAGCACAAAAAAATTAAGAAAAACATGTGAGCAGCCTCCCAATGGGGGACCGCAGGCCATGGCGCTACAAATAAGCCAAGCAACAGGGAGCCACGTGTGCAGTGAGGAGCACGAGAGTTGCACTGCAACGGCACGGCTGCGTGACAACCCGTTGGGAGCATCGATGCAGAGCAGCACGTCACGTGCAAGAAGAGTTGCTTCTCCCGCTCAAGAAAGAAGAAAAACAGCCTCAGCGTCCCAATAACGAGAGGTCGTCTGCACCTCCTCGCAGCACCTGCAAGCTCTGCAGGCACAATGACGCAGATGACGCTCTCCTGCACGCATGGCGGCCGCTGCATCCTTAACAACGGCAACCGCATCCTGTGGCACCACACATCGCAGCGGGTGCGCACAGTCTCCGTCTCCCTCCTGTCCCTCTCCCTGAGAACTCATCGGCGGCCGTGGCACACTCACCGGCATGTCAGAAAGCAATTGTGTTTCTTCCTCCCCCGCACATCGCACAGCAGCACCGCCAAACGCATGTCGCTCCTCCTTTCACAGATTCTCCTCAGACACGCCTCCCGCCACATTCATCAGCTCACAGGCACGCAGTCCGTAAACGTCACGCTGCTGCCCCGCATGACGGTGCCGCACACACACCAACACGGCGCCCCGCCACTCGGCGCAAGCAGCGTCTGGACACACAAAACAGGTTGCCCCAGCGAACAACAGCCCCCTCCAAGCAGTGAAACAGG